TAAAGTAACACTTCTCGAAAATGGTGAAATAAGATAAGTAAATAAATAAATGGTTTAAATACTTTTATGATTTGTTTACATTTACTTGCCGTTTATKTTGGACTGAGGTCTATTTTAGTTTTTATAATATCAAAATATTTATTTTGGTTGTCGTACTTTCTAAAAAAATTATTTTTTGGTCTCSTTAATTTCATTTTTTATCATTTATATGAATCATAATTTTAATATGATATTTGATTCACTAAATTTATTTGTTTTAAAGAATTTCTAGTGTGCATGAAAGTTAGTAGTACTAAATTTTGCAGGTAGGATTGTTTATTACATGTTAAATCTTAATCCAAATCCTGATAAGCCTTAGTTAAGGAATTACTTCTTCCACGAGCATTTTAATTAATTAATTTATTTATTTATAAAACTTCTTCTCCGAGCATCATTTAAGCAATCCTCTTAAAAGTACATTATGGTGAAAATGTTTGAAAAATGTTTTCAATTATATATATGAGAAAAGATTGTGAAATCTAACCATCAAATAAATTGTGTTCAAGTTCAATTTTGAAACTCAAATTAAAGCTAGAAAGAAACTTTGAGTGATTGAAGAAATTGTTCTTGAGAATGCATAGACGCCACTTGGGGCCGTTTGTTTTTAAGTATTTTAGATATGTTATATGCATGAAAATATAGAATGTATAGCGTTTTTAGATAACTAGGTTTGTTTTATTGGAAAATTTATAATGATGTATGAGAATATTTAAATAGATATGTTTGTTCCGAGGATTTACCCTTGGAAATGTTCAAAAATTATAAAAGTTAGTTTTTTTTTATCAATTTAGTTTATATCAAACTTAAGTGTTATTGTTTAGAACACATTAATATATATTAATTTGGCATTTTCATAAATATTTAGTATTAACTATTAATTCCAATTTTAACTTATGTTTTCCTTAGCTCATCTTAAAAGATAATGGGAATGAATTCGAGAACTTAATTGACATTGATAGATATGGGTACCAAACAACAAATATTGATTAATGTACCAGTCAAGCCGATCGGAATATTTGATTGGACAGAAGAACAACAAATTGTACAAAGACAACCGAGGAGAGAAGCCTTACATAGATATTTTTTTGAACCGGAAACCAAACAAGATATGTAATTCCATATTCAACCTTTTCTCTTAAAAGAAAATTATATAAATAATTACATTTTTATTGGATTATATTTTTTAAAAGATAATCTACCAACTCAAATAAATGAAGATATTTATATAATCTAATTGAATTTTATTTTATATATAAACGYAATAAATAACTATACTTAATTGTCCAAAGTTGTTGTTTATTAGTGAATGAATACATTAATTTATTTTAATTAAAAAGTTAAATATTAAAAAATAAAGAAATTGATGAAAGAAAAATATATTAAAAAATGATGAATAGAAAAACAGATGATATACCCTCAACATGTAAATCTTGGAAACCTCATGATTTAAGAGGGCATAAAAACACCCTATATATCCTAGATTTCTATAAAATAAACATGGGAATCTAGATGTTCTTTCTCTTCCCACAGAAYAAATCGGTTAAATGTGTGCGGCCAGAGGAGTTTGCATTAGACCACACACACGCACAAAATTTCTTCTCCAAATCAATATATTAAAGTTCCGTTAATATGTTGATATCTCCATTGATATTTTTTTTTTCTTGGTTACAACAAATGTGAGATGAGGATTGAACCTCCGACTACTAGTAAAGAGYAAGATGTCTTAATCGCTGAGCTATGCTCATGTTGACTCCATCAACATTTTTCATATGTTTATGTGTTTGACATCAACATAGGATAAATCAACAAGTCCATTAATAGTGCAAAAATTTGACAAAATATCAATTTTTTTTTTGAGTAAATATTGCTTTCATTAAGAATCAACTGCCATGCAGGCAACACGACGGGAAAAACTTTCCCTTTCAGAGACATGAAGAAGCCAAAAGGGGAAATTACAAGTCCACGAAGAAGAACTAGAGGCATTGAGACCCTGTTTAGCCAAGATGTCAGCCGATCGATTGCATTCCCGGAGTACATGCATGAAGTCGCATACATCTAAACCGAGAGCAAGAGCACCAATGTCGTGAATCCAAACCTTCACGAATGGCCAGAAGCTCAGCAAGTAAAGGTGTGTAAGGAAGAGGTACAAACCGACATCCCGCTGCCAATAAACGAYCAGATTCATCACGAATAAGGAAGCCTAACCCAGTCGAATTAGCTCCACACGCAGCATCAATATTTAATTTCATCCCTACCATGGCCGGACTCCAATTGGCAATTGTTGTTCTTTGTTGCGGAGCTGGCGTTGGAGAATGGAAAGCTTGACGAGATAAAACCCCGTACGAGGAGGAATTGGCTTCTCTTGAATGATTTGGTTTTGGTCATTCCAAATGGCCCAGCAAGTGATCGCTGCAATTTCTAATTCCAAATTACTAAGCTTCATATGTCATCTCTCCCATTGATCAGGAAATGGAACATTCGAACTCGCAGGACAGGGTGCAGAAGGGAGAATGGTAGACCATAGTTGCTACACCCAAGAGCAATTCAACAGAGCATGAGCTGTAGTTTCCACCTTATTTTTGCAATAGGGGCAATAAGGCGAGACATCTAACCATTTCCTTTGAAGATTGTACATAGTAGGCAAAAACCCATGCATTGATCTCCATAGGAAAGATCTGATTTTCGTAGGAATGCTCATGTTCCATAAGTTCTTCCAGAAATTGCCTCTAATAGAATAGTTGTTCGTGTATGCAGTAATTTTTTTGCTCATGAATAATTTATAGGCGCTTTTAACACTGAAAATGAAAATGCCCCTCCATTCATAATGCCATAGCCAGTAGTCTTCCAAATTATAAGAGTTTGAGGGGAATTTTTAGGATTAGATCAATATCATCTATGTAGAAGACACTAGACAATATCCCAAGGTTCGAAGTGCTAGAGGGCTCGATCAAACTAGAAACCATAAGATTACCATTAGAAAGTGTTAGTGTGATCGGCTTAAAAGACTTTTCTCTAGGTAACCAAGGGTCCTCAAAAACCCTTATTGTATCACCTCTGCCCACTTGTTTGCGAATCCCATAAAGAAGTAGGTCACGACCTCATATGAGACTTTTCCAAAAATATGAAGCAGTAGAATTAGCAGAAGCCTCAAGAATAGAGGAATCGAGAAAATAAATAGCTTTCAAAACTTTGGATGCTAATAATGATGGATTTTTTAGAAATCGCCAGGCTTGTTTGGCTATTAAAGCCTTGTTAAAGCCCTCCAAGTCATGAACATTAAGACCTCCAAGCTCCTTAGGCATACATAGGTGCTCCCGACTCATCCAGTGTAATTTCTTTTACTCACTAGTGGACCCCCACCAAAAACGAGTAAAAATACGAGCAATATCATCACAAAATCCTTTAGGCAACCGAAAAAAACTCATAGCATAAGAGAAGATTGCTTGGGCCACGCTTTTGATAAGGATTTTCTTACCTCTAGCAGAAAAGAACTTGTGTTTCCACCCCTGCATCACCTTCCATATCCTATCTTTAAGAAAATTCCAATCATTTCCCTTCCTCCTCAAAAAGGCAGAAGGCAAACCAAGGTAGTTCCCTAAGTCTTGAACAAGCTCAACCCCCAAGAGGGATTGAAGGTAGGCTTGCCTATCAACATGAACATTTGGGGAGAACAAAATAGCGGACTTAGAGAAGTTTGTTTGGGGAAGAGAATACCCTGGACACGTAGAGGACCCCTATTGGTGCTCCAAGATGACTCATGAGTCATGCCCAGCTCGGACCGCCGAGATCACCACCACTAGCGTTGACAGATGCTAAGTATGAGGGCCGAGGTGAACCTGGCCGAGATCCGACCTACCGGGAAGCTCGGTAGGGGCCGATGTGAGCTACTGTCAGCGGCGTGATTATCGGGTGTAACCGTCGGTCCCGAGATTACCGGGTGTAACCGACGGTCCCGAGATTACCGGGTGTAACCGTCGCGAGATTAGCGGGACTACCACCCATAAGTAGAGGACCTCACTCCACGATCAGGTACGATGATTTCTGACCTCGAACTAAACTGGGAATCCGACCTATACTGACTTGATCGTCGGAGTGCTCATCTTTTTGTGCAGGTCCGCCCAAGTATTCAGATCGGTCCGGATGCCGAGTTCGAGCTGCAATCTGAAATACA